ATATATATATATATATATATATATATATATATATATATATATATAATATAATATATTTTATTATTTTTTTAGGGTATGTCAATATATAAAAAACTAATAAAATATATAAATAAATAAATTTGGTAAATCCAAACCGCAACAAAGATATGCATACCGTAGGGACTATTTATAGGGATTATTTATATATTTTATTATCTTTTTATATATTCACCATTTACCGGACGATTTTCCGTCGATTTTTTCGTTAGTCGCAATTCTGACAAATGTTCGCGCCGGAAAGAGAAAAGAACATCGCAAAGGAGAAAAAGTAAATATGAAAACGTTAAAAAAAAAAAGAAAACATACGGTTTAAATATATTTTTCTTTAATTCGTTGACATGGAAAACGAGTTTACGAGTTAAAGGCAACGAGTTAGAGCGAATAAAATCTCCCTTCGTTAAAGCGTCGTCGCTTTTTTTTTATTCCTACCAACTCGTGACGCGACTAAAGCACGGCAACATTGAGTCGCTAGTCAATAAAAACGAAGATAAAATAGCTCCCTGAATAAGTGAACCAAAAGCTATTATCATCCTCAGGATTTAATCGAAGACACACGATCGAAAACCTTTTACCTCCTCGAACCCAGAGGGTGCACAAGTTAATTTCTGTGATTTATTTTGACGCTCAGCGATATAATAAGATTGCGATTTTAATAACAGATACGATATGCGAAACTAGTCACCACCTGACAAAGTGAAAGTGTGTTCGTACTTCCCAAGTTTCGGTAAAAATCTTTTTACATAAAACTGTCTGTATGGGGACCGAAGTTTTGCGAGATTTGCATGGAAAAAAAATAACAGGAAAAGGATTAGCAAAGAAGCAAGTGTTTCCCGGGATAACAATGCACCATATCCTTTACCGAATCATTCGATTCTCTTTCCATCATTACCGTACGATATTTAGAAAATTTGGGAAATACTTTAATGTCGCGGGTCCATGCAAGAACTACGAAAAATTTGTTTATCAAACCCGTATATGTACATATACATACATACATACATACATACATACATATACATGATATATATGTTTTTGCTTTTTTTTTTATTAAACACAGAATCACAGAGCAAACTGGACATGTTGCAGGGGCGGAAGATGTTACATATTTTTTTTGTTATAGCTGATTTTCTGGTACGACGCACACAACAGGGCTCACCTCCGCCGTTTTTTTTTCTCTCCTTCTTTATCAGTATTTATTAATATTATTATTTTACGTTCTCGTTACTGTACAAAATATCTCGCTGTTAAAAAGTCAGCCGTGGCTTTAGTAAAAAAGATACGAAATCGTGGAGGTTGAGCCCGCGTGGGCCAAATACGGCGGCCCCGTTTGGTATCCGCAGAGAAGATTCCCCGTCAGTGGAAGTAATTAAGTTTTTTTTATTTACAAATCAAGGCAATATCGTTAATCATGTTGTTTAAAAATTTCTTTTTACATACATACTTGCGCCATTCGCGTTCAATTTGTTACTCGCATATTTCCCCCTCTCCCCCCACCCCTCTCATTTCAAAGTGTGTCGGTTAACTCTTCTCACTCTTCCACTATTCAACACGATGCTCTGAACCATAAACTGGTCCACAGATGGTCCAGCATGCTTTTCAATCATACATGATAATAAACCGAGCCTGAATTTTTACATGTAACGTTTCAAGCAAAGGTTTGGGAAGCCATTCAAGCTTCGATAGAAAATCAATGGACACCGATGGCACCGTTCATGCGATTCACCATTGTTCGTTCACCAGATATCTCCGAGTTACAACTTCCGTTTTCTGTCTCTCGTCCAAAGTTAAATCACGATAGAATCTCTAATTTCATTACGAATCGTTTCTCTAATTGTATCCTATTTACAACTGCCTCAATTCGTTTCCTACGAACGTAAATTTAATATAATAGCGCTACTCCCTCTGCTCCCCCGATCTTACAGATTTTAGTACAATACATAGAATTTCATTTCTTTACAAATTTTCTCGCGCGCTAATTATATCTCTTTTTCTTATTTACATCGTCTCGATTTTCTTTCTTACAAGTATATCTCATCAAATTCGACTTTCTCTCTCGTCTGTAATTTGTTGCGAAGTCTAATTCGAAAATTTTGCATCATTCAAAATCATAGATACTTACGGATCGACGTAACAGTATAATAAACAGAAGTTTGTTGTTCACTTATCGTATCATACTAAATATTTCTCTATATGTGTACCGTGTTCTTATATGACAGAAACCATGCGCGCTGTAAACAGTGTGTGCTTCGAAATCCAACACTGTACAAGTCGGAATATGATTGACAAGCATGCTTGATCATTTATACAAGTCGTACAATAATAATCCGTTCGCGTTATATATTCTCTTTTCCTTTCTGTTTTTGTGACAAACTTTTTGTACAACGTGTGTATAGTTAATAATACAATAATTTAATCGGCCAGAGCGCAACGGAGGCGACAACCGGCGTTTTTTTCGAGTTTACCGTATATATTCCCCCGCCTCGGTTCACGTTTTTTTCCCCTCTTACGTCGAACTGGTTGCATATAAAAAGTCTCGATTTCAAATGTGCAGAGCGTCACACAGCGAACAGTTTTTGTTTTTCGTCCCATTTTGAAGGTCTCACACATGTAACAAGCATACGCATCGAGAGAGACAGATGCGTATGCTTTCTTTTTTTCTCGTTTTGTTAAAAATACTACACTCACGGCACTCTCGTATCACTCCACATACACGTGTGCATGCATGCATACATTCTCTTGTATTGTTTTCTCTCCTCGTTCTTCCACTTGAGAAAACGGTATGGGATTCCCTTTTTCGTCGCGTACTCTCTCTCTCTCTCTCTCTCGCTCGCTCGGTTCATTATACACTGTATTTTAATATACAGCGAAGCTGCATCCGAAATAACGTTTCTGCGCTGAGAAAAATGTTAGCGGGGCCCCTCTCCTGTTAGTTTATTGCTGTTGTTCCAGCACGGTCTTTATCTCACCCAGACAGCCTCCAATTCGAACCGATTCTCTAGCTGGTAACAACGATCATTTGTAATTAATCGAATTAGAGAAGACAAAGAGATGTTTGCGCGAGAGCGAAAGTTAAACGACCGCTTCGTAATTTGCGTCTCTTATTATCGTTCTCGAATCATCGTTACTATTACAGAAAACTCTCGTGCGAACAGTGCGTGTGCGCGCGTAAAAGATATTGTTATTAACTGGAAATCGAATTAAATAAAACATGATCTTTTTATTCGAAGTAAAATAATAATAGAAAAAATAGGTTCGTTTAGTTACATACACGTATTGTATAAAGAACGATTAACACGTTCCGTGCCGAGCTTTTTTTACTCGAATCTTCACACTTTGATATTTCACTAAAACTTGATGTATTACGTGCAATTATTAATTCTCGTACACGTAACAACGTAACAAAAACTTATCAACGCCCATTCTTGCGGTGGAAATTGATTCTTCGGTTCTAAATTTCTTGTAAACAATTTGTTCGGTTCACTGAGTAAACATGCAAGCGTGCACCATCGATGGTACACGTGGCACGGAACGTGTTAAA